GCGCAACAACCCAGAAGACAGAAATCTTCATACTCATCGCCCTGATGATGGAGGCAGTATGACCTCTGAAACGTTGGTTAACATCGACCAGTCTACACAGCGCAACAACCCAGAAGACAGAAATCTTCAACTCTGATCAGTTTTCGAAATGTGTGCACCTGTACTCCAGCCCTGTATGTGATGCAATATTCATTGTGCAAGGCGACGACTTGTATTAAGTAAACACATTACATTACGTAACCACTTCTATGCTCTGAACGACGTATATCGATTAGATAGCAGTAACTTCTGTCCGATATATGTTTGATGTCAAGTCAGAAGTTTACAACTGCCCACGAATTAACTTTTCTAAGCACGAATATGTAAGTTACAAAATTTTTAAAAAAAAATGTGAGCAAAGAATGAGTTAACGGGCTTGTGGGCTTTGCTACGGCGTTGAAACTTCATATTACTTTACCAAACAACTTACTTGATTTGTTTCTAATTTGGTTTATTGCTTAATTCTAAAACAATCAACGATGCTGTTCGAACTATGTATCAACTGATATGGGAATTTTTGGATGATGAGAAATCATTTATTTTGAAAGTACAATACCGTCAACTGACATGGGAATTTTTGGATGATGATAAATCATTTATTTTGAAAGTACAATACCGGCTTTCGAGTTAGTTGTTTTGAAGTAAGATAAGAATGAACTTTATGATATTTGTTCTTTAGTATTTTAGTAATTGCGATAATTACTAAACTTACTACGGTAATTATTAAAATAATAACTACAGAAGACCTGAAGGCTTAAAGTAACAACCGCAATTAATGATTTATTTACAGCATTCTAAATAAGGATTGTATCTTCATTAAGAGTTCTATTATCTGACTTGAGGTTGAGTATATTTTTAGGTCTACTTGAGTGCTTCATTGTGTGTTCCAAATGACAGGGTCTCTCGTCTTCATGCTGACAGTTTGACATCAAACCAGCTTACGACAATTAATCATTCCGCAGAGTATTGGATTCTTTGTGTCATGTCATATAACTGGTGGAAAAGGAACGAAGCATCGTTCATCGGAGAATTTTAACTAAGATTAGAGGTACATTGCTATTTTCAAAGTACAGTCTTACAATTGCAATAAAAATAGACGACGTTCTGCAAAAAGAATGCTATTTCTTGTCTGAAGAAACAGAAAACACCTGTGGGAACTATTTTCAGTTCTTCGTTACGTGGTTAGAGAGAGCTACGCTCGTAGCTCTTCTTCTGTTCTGTGTTTTTTTCTTTCTTTCGTTCTCATGTGGAAAATCCGGGTATCGTTTCTGGAAGAGTAACAGACTGTAATCCTGCGTCTCCCAGGACCTGTAATGCAGAAGATACTCAAATAAGATCTGGAACAGATGTGAACTGCATTCGAGAATCGATCTCTTAGTTAGAGTTTTGTTTGCGCTGCTGTTTCTGTAAATGTACAGAAGCTGTACAAATCCCAACATTAGTCATATAAAACGAATGAATATGTGGTTTAGTAGTTATATTGAACGCCATACATTTCTAAATTACAAAATTGTTATAAATATTGTTAGTGATAATTAATACTGTGAATCAATTTATTTTAAGAAAATTTAAACTTGTGTGTGGTTTCAGTTCTTCCGTCTAACCTTTGTTTCGTTCAAATTTGGACAAGTATGACAAAAGTATGACAAAACTGGACTCGAGGTGCAGAAATAAAATATATAGGCAGAAAGAACTTACACTGTTCATAACCTCAAAGGAAATTAATTATTACGAAAACTCACAATTAAATATTCACAAGTAAAAATCTTAATCACAACATAATGCCTGTACTATAAATATCCAGTGTAATTTCTGGTAACAACATATTTTTCTTCATTTAATTAATAATGTAATTGTGGGATACATGATCGTAGTTAGGTATTTTGAAAAACATTTACATTCAAATTTGAAATACGTATGTAGAAGCACTTGTAACAAGTAGGCCTATAAGAGCCTGACGGAAAATTATTTTACAATGCTTGTGTCTTTGGCTTTCATAGGACTTTTACGCCACGGATTATTATTATTATTATTATTATTATGTCTTTATGAGCCGGGATAGCTCAGTCAGTATAGTGACTAGCTACGGGCTGGACGGCCGGGGTTTGATCCCTACGGGGGCAGAGGATTTTTCCTCTAGCCTCTGCGTCCAGACCGGCTCTGGGGCCCACCCAGCCTCCTGTCCAATGGGTACCGGGGTCCTCTCCCGGAGGTAAAGCCGACCGGAGCGTGATGCTGACCACTCACCCCCATCTAGTGCCGAGGTCAAGGAAGAGAGGAGCTATACCTCCACTCCCCCCAAACGCCTACATGGCGTATAGTGGGACAAACTTTACTTTACTTTACTTATTATTATGTCTTTAATTGATTGAATCTTTTATATTAACATTATAATACTATGGTATTTAACGTAAAACATATCGAATATGAAAATGGCCGTCTTCTGGCTGCCTCCATTACCAGGACGATAAGTAAGGCGTGAGGTCAACTTATCGCTCTGATGATGGAGACAGCAAGCACCTCGGTAAACCTCTACTACACTACACGGCGCAGGAACACAGTAGACAGCAGTTTTGTGTGTACACGCTGTCTTTCTGACAAGTAGGACACTTTCCATATCGTGCGATCAACTTTTGTATCCCCTGTTCGGACACTATCGTTTCAATGTTACGTCCACTTTACTATTTTAAATCTGTGACCTCCCAGATATTGATTCTGTGTATTTCAAGCATTAAAGCAACACACAGTATAGAAAGCCAGAACTGGTAACGATGTGAAGACACCAATAAAATGACACTTGAAAGAACAGGACACTTGAATTTTATGGACAGGGAATAGAAAATCTCATACTATGATAACTGTTTCGGTAGGCACAACAACCATTTTCAAAAATAGTTAATGTACCACACCAAAAATTCAACTCGTTGCTTCAAGATAAAGCCTTGTGAATTTGCTGTCTATCCCATTAATACAGTTCACCTGCATGGATGAGATATATTTTCAAGAGTAAACCTTCTAGAGGGGTTCACAGAGAGTAAAATATTATGCTCTAAAGCTTTCGCGGCGAATAAAATCTAATAATATCATCCCGGGCTATAAGCCTTGTCAATTCCTTAAAATTCGACGTTTCAGGAACCAACTCCGCCCCCATCATTAAAATTTGATGTAACCGCTTGGAGTGAGACTGTCTGGGTGACGTTACGTAAAATATCGATGACGGCAATGGAGCTGGTCCCAGAAACGTCGATATTAACGAATTGACACGGAGGAAAAAGCGAAGTGAGTTTGTAATTATATTCACAGATGTCAAATCAAAATGTTAGCATAATATTTTCAAAATATGATTGTTATGTTTTAATGCCAACTCAATACCTGTACAATAATGATTTCTTGTCAGTAAGTACATAATGTCTTTCAAAACTCTTTTATGATATTATGAGGTATTGCACCTCATAGCTGGTATTATACCCGAGAAGAATGAAGGAAATTAACAAAATAGGACAAAGCATAACGAGGAATTTAATGTTATATACAAGTCATGTGGTATTAGGATAACCGAAATAAGAAAGTGTGTCCCAGCAACATTGAAGTCCGTAGGGTTGCAGATCTGCCAAGAAACCAAGGCGCAGGAGTCTGGCAATCTCGGCAGCAAAATATTTAAATACTTAATTGCTACCAAACTTCAAACGACAAATACAGCGGATATTGAAGCAAATTTATCTTATAAATAAATTCATAGAAACTTTTATATAAATGAATGTTGTTAGCTTCCTGTGCCAAATTGTAAAAAAAATGGTTCTGTAGTCATTAATATATTAAGCGTCTGCCGTGCTATATTGCATATACAGCGTGTGGCAAATGTGCTAAACCCGTTTTATTTATGAATAGAAGTGCATATGGTTGTTCGACAAATTGGTACATATTTTAAAAATCACCAACTCGAAAAGATGTTCTTTGCAGGATACTCTGCAAATTGTCAGTTACCTGTCTACAAGCCGCTGCAACATGTTGGTGAACATTTTACATTACTTTCCTGACTCGTCTCGTTTCTTCCTGTGTGTTGTATTTCAGGTGCGATAGATTTCAGGTCCACCTTTCCTTCTAAGACCCGTCACAAGAAAATATCGATCTAGGAGAGATTGGATGATCTTGCTGGCCAGTTTATGTCTCCATTACGGGGAGATCACCTTGTTTACAAACACCCTTGCATCTGTCTGTATGACAGGTTACTCTCTTCTGTTCAAAGAACCATTCCATAGCTTTCTCATCTCTAGAGCCCGATTTAGGACATTCTCTCCGTTGTTGTGTGTAGTGTTCATAAAGAAAGGTCCGATTATCCCCCCTTTTTTTAAAATCTCACACGAAACAGGAACCCCTTGTGGATGCAAGTGTCGCCTGTGAGTCTGTATGGACCACGTTCTATAGATCTGTGTTCATGTAACTCCTGAGGTGAATATGTTCTTCGTCATTCATCGACATCTTGAGAACAAACTCATTTTACTTTTAAGCAGGTTTTAGTAAAGTACATGATATTTACTCGCGATTCATTATCAGTACGTTGCAACTTCAATAACCTAATTTAATAGATAAAGTTACCCAAGTAACATTTAAAAATTCTTCCAAAGGCTTCCGGACAATTGAAGTTACAAAAATAATTCATTTGTCTTCTTGGTTTCGATGACAGTTGACTCAAAACTTACATTTAAATATTTTTAAGCATTTGCATGTTTACTTTAAAGTAGAAGATAGTTAATTAACTTTATTTGTTTATACGTTTCTATTGTAATTCGTAAGTTCCAATGGTGAAAAACTCAAAATATTTAGGTTTAAGTAATAAGATACGCCGTGAGAACGTAAACATATTCAGAGCAGAAGATTCTGAGCGTTTTATATTTGGCTAAAGAGCGATTGTGTTTGTTTCCTAGTTTTAATATCATATTTTCATTTTCGTTGTTAAAACGCGACATGGAAATATCATGTTGCAAAGTGAAGGAAAAATGTAATTACATGATCCTTCCGCCAGGCGGAGAGCGTGTATGTGGATAATGGAAAAAGTTCACTTTCTATACCAGAGTTTAATTTACTTTCAAAACTTGGTATCACATTACACTAAAGCCACAAAAACTAGAATAATTCTTTCGTTGTTGTTGTTGTTGTTCTTTTTTTGCCCCAAATAGAAGCACAGCTTACAGCATTACATAATTATACGCACGAGGAATGTAGTACTTAAACATGATATTGCATTTTGATACTCACCCAGCATTGCCATTATGTAATCATAAATTTCATAAGGTCATTAAAACCTTCATTAGTTTAAAGCAGGAATTAAAATGTACAGTTTAGAGTGTTCTGTTTTACTGTATCTCACTGGCCTTAGTATATGTTCTGTAATTGCCTGCATCCTACTTTATTTCAATAGACGTAACACCATTATGCATTCTTTACCAACATATTTTGTTTCCTTAGGGTGAAATATTAAATTCTACGGGTATTATTATAGTTTGATATATTTTAATCCTCAGGGTTTTGTACACGAGATGGGAAGATAAAATATTCGGAATCTATTAGTAATAAGTATTCTGTGTGTTCACTTCTAGGCCAATTGCCTTAATAGCCCTTAATATCGGCTTATAAAATTTATTTATGTTTTTGTTCGGAATTTGTATGTTTTAAATAATAAATCCACATAGATAGGTAGAAAATATGCTCCATCCAATTTAACTTTCTCAGTTTTACATAATTTACTTATTATTCTTTTACGTTAGGTTGTTCCAAAGTTCCCCAGTGACAACTCTGAACGTCCACCCCTAATTTATTGCATGTAACTGTTTATTCCACACGTTTATTGCTACTCTCTGTAGACAGAGGCTTCTCATCTATCTAAAACCTTAGAATATCCTATTCCGTGGCAACAGATACCTACAGGATTATTAACTCAATATTTCGCACACTCGCCATGTTAGTTTATGTTTTACTCAAAGTGACGCCTTAATACAAATTTCAAGTATTTTACTTTGTCGGACAAGAAATTCTACATTGAACAGAGATGATGATCATGGATACGCCATGATGATATTGTTTAAAAGTGGTAGTTTCCATGTATTGATGTTTCAATTTAAGTAATGGTCAGACACGTTGTCACATGCAGCTGACTAATAGGTTTTCGAAGAAGAGACTCTGAATTTATAGCATCAATAAAACTCCCAATTCTGTGTTTTGTTTCTAGTATTAATTATATAGAATTTTCGCCCTTTCCACAGACGAAATACATATTTTGTCTTGGTTTCCACAGTGTTTCTCGCTTTTTATTAATTTCTCTATAGTATCCGTTGCTCTCCAGTTTCAATCCCCACTGTCCATTGTTCTGGTGGGGAAGGTCCCTCATCAGTATTCCCTGTGACTAGACAGTTCTGGCTGAGTTTTTATTTTATTTTAACATGCTAATAACAGGCCCGGATAGGGGTGGATCATCTCATCTGCATATCACTGCCTTTCCTCCTAGTAGCAATATAGCAACGAACAGTTCTTGCTTAGACGTACTAATCACAGCCTGCTGGAGTCATTACACGAGGCCACTCCAGTAGCTGCTAAGGGAACTCTGAATTTGCTGTAAAGGAAACGTGGCAACATTGTTTTCGCGGCGAAATGTAATTTAGAGAATTTTTTACATGTGAGTAAATCAGAAGGGATTTAAGGGAAGCGGTCGTGGTATATCTTAGCGCATATCTTGGTATCTGCTTGGTGGTATTGAGTAAAATCATGATATCTGACCCCCCGATGAGGATTACTCGTATGACTCGATATCCCCCTCTACACGAATGCAAGCAAGAGTCACTACACCGTCCAATAAGAAGACATTCGATTAGCTCAATGCAGGACACTAAACATGAGTTAATAATATGAGTGCAATGCAGCTGTTACATGCGTTAATTGCAGAATTTATATGAAGTGAGAGCATGATGGTGAGGTGGCTTCCTCTTCGATACTACTGGCCAAACTTGGATGAGATTGTTTACTGTGTCCACACTGGATGTTGTCAAAGGAATTTGACTTTCACATGTTCCAGTCCAATAAACATGCAATTTACATGAGGACGAAATGAATCTTATGATATTTCTCAGAAACTGATGATATACAAAACATTAATGGATCCATACAGCGTGAAACATAGACGTAATTAAGACTTCAAATTTTTATTTCAAACATTTTTCGTTATAATGAATATTAAACTAAATATAAGGAAAATAATTTTTAACATAGTACAGTTTCCGTAGTTGTATCTGTAAATTGTATACATCAAGGCTAGTAAGTATACAAAATATCACAAATTACATTTTGGAAGTGTGTGTACACCATAGGAGCAAACCCTTTCTCTCTTTTCTGTGGGAAATTATACGAAGTTTTGTCCCTTCTGAAATTTTATTTATAGTAGAGAGGAATAAATTACGTTTTTGTGTGTGGCCTTGAAAACTTAAAATAAAAAAAACAATATGAGTATTATTTCCCTGCGTTTTGACACCGTGTGGACTTGTGGGTTGATACCAAAGCGTCGAAGGAGCATACTGCCTGAATCGCCACGTCCCAGAAGACCAATATCGACATCTTCACCGCCGTGAGAACCTCAGACCTGACAGTTATTTAACTAGTTTTCGGGGAAAATAAGCTCTCTTGGGCTGAATCTGAAAGTTTCCAGACGCAATTTAAGACGTCTGGATGTGCAACGATTGTAATAGATGAGATGGATGAAGGACACTTTTGAAGTTTTCTAGGACGCTACTAAAGTGTAACGCAGCGCCTCGCTTTAAATCCGGATTGCCCCCAATAGATTACAAACTTAAAAGGTTGAGCGTGACAAATTTTGTCGAAATTCGGTATGTAGTTTTTGATATGAAATACGGGGACAGACGGACATATAAAATTGTGTGTTTATTCATTTTATGCAAAGAAGACACTCGAGTATTTCGATCTTAATGCGTTGCTCTGCGTATAGAAGTAAACTAGCATGAAGGCCTGTGTATGCAGAATCAGCAAGAAATACGGAGGTTCAATGTTAAAGTTATAATGGCGTGAAATGTGTTAGGAAGCAGCCATCTCCCTCTGTTACATAGTTTCACTTTTCGTGCTACAATGGAGTCACTTAATTTTTCCCCTCAGTTAATTTTAACACCGGCGCCCTTCTGTTTCCCTCCCACTCGCCAAGCAATTTCTTGTGTTCCCCCTTCACGTGACTTGTTCTGCATTGTTGGATCTGTTTCTTGCACGTAAGTTTGTGCTTTTGTTTCAAACGTACACGTGATTTCTTCTTGCGAGTCAGTGATTTCGTAAGACATTCCAGCAAAGTCAGAGTCTGTTTGTATGTTTCTGAAAGACTTCGCTTTGTGTATTGTTACTGTTTTTGTTGCAATGTCTCTGTGAAATTGGGACTGTAACGACCCCTTGTCGCTTTCTATAAGTACTAGAAAATCTTTCCACCAAAAATTACGGGGAAATATAAATTACATTTTGACGTAAATACGTCTATATTTTAGGGTCAGTGTCATTCGGCAAAAATGTTACGAAAACGTGTTACGAAATAGTGTTACGAAAAAGTGTTACGAAATAGTGTTACGAAAAAGGGAAACGAAAAAGTGTAACTTCATTGTTATGTTACCTTGGAAACGTCATCTGTTTATCAACAAATAAACAACGATGGTTACCTACATAGTTACCTTACCTTACATTCAGCTACCACAGACCCATCTTAAGCGTAACTAATTCAAGTTAAATAAGCAATGTCTTAATCAAACTTTACTAAATTGTAAAGGATGTATAAAGTAAATATTTAGAATAAAGCCAATATATAAACTTCCTTTCCGTATAGACGTATTTACGTCAAATTCTCCGGAACCGTGGTTCCACTGACAACTTTTGTTGAGCAATGTAGCAAGGAGCATTTAAAAATTAGTCATTAATGAATTACCTTCTACGGTGCAATGTTCCAGAAGACAAACATTATCAAATGTTACATCATATTTAATTATAATATTTATTTCTTACATTAATTTGTTTTGACAGTCTCGTACAGTCATTGCAGTTGAATAAACTATCCATTAGCCACGCTAAGCTCGTAACACAACTAAGTCAGAGAGAACAGATATTACCGAACTTTCGTTTAGAATGTATTAAGTAGTTAGTGTTACAGATGTATTTCTAGCAGAAACAATTTCTTGAGACACAAAACTCTATTAAGATGGAACTGCTTCTGCCATTCTCGTTTACTCCGGTGATGTTCCACCACCGCCTGTCATGTTCGCCATTTGCATACTAAGTGATTGTTGTCTGTTGTTGCCATGCAACGTGAGTTTGCGTCCGCGAAACAAGATAACAGCGATCTGCATTCCACAGCCTTCTCGAAGTCCATTCTCTGTCCCTATTGTGCTTCTGTATCTTGATATCTGTGTCTAACAAGAAGAGCCCTAGCATCCAACATTATATTCAAGTCATAAACAATGAAGCCACGTTACGGGAATCTTTTTATACCAGAAATGAACGCGTAGCTGCGGTTTCTCGAGTAAATATTTCTGAAACGAAAATTATAATAAGACTGAAATATTAGTAAATTATAGCTGATTTGCAGAAATAAAAAGGGTTTCGTGTTTCTGAGTTACAGAATATCTCTATCAGAAACATGTACTCAGGATTAGTAAGTAACGTTTAAAGTAATGGTTTCTTTGTAGATTATAAATAAATAAGTAAAGAATACGGAATGTGTTGGTATCCACGTCTTTATTATTTATTATTTCACTCTTTCTTCATTGTACTCCACCTTCTTTTTTACGTTTCGTTTATCTTTTCCATCTTTCCCAATTCCCGTCCTTTCCATTCTTCATCATTCTCTGTATTCCCATTTAAAACGCGCGCTTTTTAGCCCCAGTAATAAAATGTCAGTCCACTGTCATTCTGCGCGTAACAACTCGAGAAGCACCGAGCGGAATTTTTTTTTTTGACGTAAATACGTCTATATTTTAGGGTCAGTGTTATTCGGCAAAAATGTGTTACGAAAAAGTGTTACGAAAAAGTGTAACTTCATTGTTATGTTACTTAGGAAACCTCATCTGTTAACTCAGCATTGTTGTTACCTAGGAAACAATATATGAACTTCCTTTCCGTATGGACGTATTTACGTCAAATTCTCCGGAACCGTGGTTCCACTGACAACTTTTGTTGGGGTGTTTTATAAAAATTGTCCAACACATACCAATTTTTGTCAAAATCGGACAAAAAACAACTGGCACTTCACCACATGAAGACCCCACACGCGGCTTTTGCAAACAGAAGTGTCTGGCTGGGTAATTCTCATATTATCACTGTTACCCTGGGAATCTCCGCGTGGGGAATTATCAGTAGGACGTACAATCACGTCGGAGAATCCTCTGCGATGACATCATCCATCCACACGTGCGGTTAGGTAAAGATCAACGGTTCCATAGTCAGAGGTGAAATCCTGGCGAATGTTCTGGAATTGTTACCCTGTGGAAATATTCCATAACTGAATCTATTATTTTCCTCTCCTAACTACTCTCTTTTCGTTCATCTTCTCCTTGCTTCAGCCATCGGTACTTCATGTTTCCTCCTCGCCTTCGTATAAACGTGTCACTTCTTGTGGCACTGATGAATATTAACGTAGACAGAGACCTGCGAATCCAAGTAGTTTGAAGTTTAAACCCCTACGAGTTGTGATACGAGAATCTAGTAATGTCTTACCCAACCCTGTAAACATTTTAATACTTGGGTGTGGTTTTTCAAACTGATAAATTACTGAAGATGACCGTCTTCTGGGATATTGCGCCGTGTAGTCTGGTAGACTTTTCCTGACGTTTCAGAGGTGCTTACATCTGTCATCATCGCCCTGATTATAGAAGCAGCAACCATCTCTGAAACTTTGATAAACTTCTACACGGCACAACAACCCAGAAGACAGCCATCTTCATATTTTAATATTAGTTTAATATGAAAAGTATTTAACAAAACGCATCTAGTTATCGTGAACTGGAGTGTAATACGCCTCAATTTTATATTCGTTCATGCTCAGGTGTAGCTACCCACATTTCGTGTTCCTATGATGTACAGATTTCTTCAATTGGAAATGAAAAATTCAAGAGTGGTCGCATTCATCGTAAGACGTGTGTTGAAAAGGCGCCATGATATAACGCTTCGGGAGTCTAGAGATGCAATAAGCAGGTTTCATTGAAATGCGTTGGAACGAGATGGTCCAGACGTGGACAGGTCTGTGTGGACATTTCTTAGAGATGCCATAGTGTGACGGGTCCTCTAGCTCAGATTTTATAGGCTATACAAGTTATACTATGCGCTCTGCTGCAGATATCGAAAAAGATGGCAGATTGGATTCGATTATCATTAAAGCATTCAATTTTTATTCTCGTATGTACGTCCGCTTTGTCTCAGAGAAAGGAGACGCGATACCCGCTGGATAAGAATCTGAGTGGACCCCACAGTAGGATGGACGTAGTGGCGGTGAAGACAACCCCCAGTTCTTTTGGACACCATATTGGAAGCTGTTCCAGCTTATAAATATTGTAGCTTGCGTAGGTGAATTTAAAATTTTGTAAAAAATTTTGGTACAAAAACTTTTAGTGAGAAAACTATTCAGGAGATTTTGATAGGCAGATAATAATATAAATATATTAATGATGCATATTGTATTATGATATTAAATAGGCTGTAGGTAAATAGTCCATACTATTTATGTAATGGATCTGTCTTTTTAATAAATCTGTGGAAAATCTTGAGGATTTCTATGTGTCGGTTTGCTCAAAATGACTCCGTTTATGTGTTTTTAAGCCGTGTAGTCTGGTAGACGTTTACCAACGTGCTTGCTACCTTCATCATCAGAGCCCAGAAGACAGCCATTCTTATGGTCCCCGTCGTTAGAACCTGAAATAAACGCACTTTACGATAATAAGACACGCACGTATTTACACTTTGTGCCTGCTTCTTCTAAAGCTTTAAATCATAATCTTAACTTTGTGTAACACTTGCTTTGAAAACATGTAAGTGCATTTATAGACTTACTAATTTTCAGAGTAAACAGTGAAGATTTACCCAAACAACTGATTGATCTTTGTAATGGTTTAGTGATATGTTTTCTTTCAGGTACAGACTAAATTCTTAAATATTATTAAATGAGCTTCGTATTTCAAAAGGTCAGTGTCTCCATGCTTATAAACAATATGGAAAATGAAGATTCGTTGAATTTATGTTGTAAATATTAACAGGTTTAAATTCTCAGCTTCTGTTTAAAACACACACCCACGCACGCACGCACGCACGCACACGCATATTCTTTTGTGTTCCGCCATACATTTCAAATAGTATTATCTCTATGCTGAATTTATCACAGGCGAGGTTTAATGAGCGTGTATGACTTCTTTTATAATTCAAATCTCCGGGCCCATTCTCTGGGAACTTACTGACTGTCACTGTTTTTTTTTTGTGCGTTGACTGTTTGCTTTAGTGAAACATTTTAATCCATTTCTATTGTACTGTGTGGGGGTGGGGGGGGGGCATTTCTCTACTGCGAGGGTTGGACTAACGCCTGAGACTCACAGATAATGAAAATACAAACACAGTTTAGCTCTTAAAGTTGGCTGGAATAGTGATGACCAGCTTTACAGCTGGCCATAGAAAAAGAAGGTCTTACTGTCTAGTTACAAATCTTCAATTCTTTCTCTCAACATTACTAGACACTGCATTAGTGAAAAACTGGTTTATTTCGTGTATGTAAATAACAGTTGATAAACCTGGATTAATTCTTTTTTTTTACGAATTTAATTTTTGAAAGACAAAGTTAATTATAATGTAGTCGAGTGAGATTTCAGGTTCTCGCGGCGGCGAGTATGAAGATAAGGGCGATTTTTGACTGACGTCTCAAAGATGCTTGTAAAGAAAGTGTTTGTAACAAGTTCTCGTGGACAAAACAGCATTATCTTATGTCATTCCTGTCGTTTATTGATAGTTACTGTTTAACCCTTTAAAGCCCATTGGTGATTATATATGTCCTGCCTACATGAACAATCAGTAATTTTTCATTTTCTATTAGAGGATTTCGTAAGATTCTCGCTGTAAATGGAGATTATTTTCTTCAATAGAAGTAATCAGTTAATCTTTCTAATGGTTGAAATTGTGTTTTCTTTTCGGTACGGGCTAAATTAATAAATATTGTTTAGACGAGCTTTGGTTAAAGGGTTAATGCAAAAGTGTTTGGATGCGTCTTTTGAAAATAAATACTTCATAATCCTGCAAACGATTGCATGAAAAACACATGAATAAACACACAACTGTGCAGTAAAAATGTACGTAATTTGGTGTTCAGTAATCCCCTTTCTCCTGAAGTAGGTCTATGTTGCAGTTTCTCGGGACATGAGAAACATTTGTCAGTACCTACATATTTGGTATTTCTCCAAGATTGCACACGTAATGTTCACGCACTTCAACAAAAAAGTGAGTTTTGTTGAGTGGGTTAAAAAAGAGTCAGGAATACGCAAGAGACGGTGACACCCCGAGACGCTGTGGAGGTTTCGTATAATAATATATAAAGTTTGTCTGTGTGTGGGAGAGAGAGAGAGACTGCGTATTGATTAGTATATAGATCGGGGGGGGGGGGGGGGAATACTGCAGGCAGTTCCCATTATCATGCTGAGCCCAACCCAGAGCTTTAACCGACATCAGTTGACAAGAAGATTCCAGTCTTCCCTCCTACCGAGAAATCAGCTGCTAGTCACAAAATCACAAGGCTGGTTCACACCAGCACTGTCTAAAGCCGTTCACACGTTCCAGAGCACACCTGTGAAGAAAACCTTTTATGTATGCTCAAGGCTTGAAGCAATCATAGATCGACACTTTCCATTCTGAATTCTTAGACCGGTACATTTTTATCAGAAACGTAGTTTCGTGTTATAACATGTGTACTTGTCCCTGATCAACAAATTTAAAACAGCAAAGCCGCTGTCCCAGCAGAATAAGTAAATGCTTAGGGAGCTCTGTCTCTTGTATCAGCCTGTACCATCCTTACAGCGGTGTGTCTGTCTGTCTTTCTCCACATTTCGCAGTGAAAGACTGAAGAGGTGTCAGTCTGTATGCCTCAGAAGCTCACACTCGTGTTCTTTACGGAGGCATGAATCAACACACAAAGTCAGAAATACGCCGAGTGGTTCAAATTTCAACGGTCTGAATTCTGAGCATTTCTTGGACAGAGACAAAAAGGAGACTTAATGGTTATTCCTGTTCGCCTTTACGACAGAACGCCCGTGTGGTTCCGATCCAA